GAACCAGGTTCTTCTATAGAGTAGTTAAGCGAAAATTGGGTACCACACAAATCACCCCCCTCTTGTGTGGTATTGACGCTTAAAACATCATGAAGGAATATAAAAAATGTTATCAGAAGTCTAAAAAATGTTATCATGACGCTTAAAACATCATGAAGAAAACACCTTTTGAGCCAGGTGTTTTCCGCGTAAAAATCTTTGTGTTCTTTATTTTCTGTATTTATTATTCCGCAAACAGTAGTAGTTAGAACACCTAGAAGAACCAGGTTCTTCTATAGAGTAGTTAAGCGAAAATTGGGTACCACACAAATCACCCCCCTCTTGTGTGGTATTGACGCTTAAAACATCATGAAGGAATATAAAAAATGTTATCAGAAGTCTAACATACATAAATTATGAGATATCTGGCTTAGTGTTAGGATTGAGTCCTATTGTGGGAGGCGTGCAAAATATTGAGACTTCTATTACAGCACCTCTGTCGAAGAAGAAGAAGAAGAAGAAGAAGAAGAAGAAGAAGAAGAAGAAGAAGAAGAAGAAGGAGAAGAAGAAAACGAAAGAGGAGAAGGAGGAGTAGAAAGATGCCTGAAGCTGTTTAGAAAGTTAAAACTTTTTTAAAATGTGGGTATAGATTAAATGGGGGCAACCAAATAAGGCGTCCCGTACAATTTTTACTTAGGCCATTACTCCGCAAAAATTTATTCCGACCCTCCTCGTATAACATTTTTGTTTCTATTTTTAACTTGCGTCAGTATTGAGTTGAAAAATAATCATTGAAGCCTTAAAGTATCTTTTGACATTCCATAGGATGAAATTAATATATTAAAATAGAATAAACATCTTTAGATATTATTATTACATTGTTTTCCCAAAAAGAATTACATACTGTAATTTCTTAAATATGTAAAAAAACTAAAAATGAAATAACTTTATCTCCATAAATTGTGGTGAGATGAATAAGATTTTTTACCCTTAATTATTTTGAGTTTGAGTTGTGGCTTGTGAGGGTGAAAATATCATGGTAGAAACTAAAGACACTACTTTTTTAAGGCTCTTACACAAATTTGAATTAGTTGGAATGCAGATGCTAATATTGCGGACTAGACAAAACAAAAGGAAATTCTCAATTTATGAGAGCTAAGGTTAACAATGAAAATATATGGGCAAATGGGAGTGGCCTTTGTGGTGGACAAAATAAAAGAAACGAGGCTGAAATGATTCGGATATATGAAGATGAGGAGCACAAATACCCCGATATGGAGGCTGAAATGATTCGGATATATGAAGATGAGGAGCACAAATATCCCGATATGGAGGTGCGAGAGGTTAGCAGTGATAGGTCTAAGAAAAGGTAGAGGTAAATTGAAGAAGAAATAAGGAGAGGTAATTGGACAAGACATGACACATCTTCAGCTCACCAAAGACGTGACTCTTAGATAGAAGAGCATAAAGGTCGAGGATTGAGGTGAAACGTTGGTAGGTAATCGAGTGATTTCTCTTTTGTTTTCCTTGGAATAATATGGTTCTAGTTTAGAGCACCTTATCTGCTCCCTCCTATCCTTATTCTTCAATTTTAGTCAGTATATTTATTCATATTGTTGTTTAGAAGATGAGCCTTGGCGTAACTGGTAAAGTTGTTGTCATGTGACCAGAAGGTCATGGATTCAAGCCGTGGAAACAACCTCTTGCAGAAATACAGGGCAAGGCTACGTACAATAGACCCGTGTGGTCCGACCTTTCCTCGGACCCCGCGCATAACAGGAGCTTAGTGCACCGGACTGCCCTTTTTATTCCTATTGTTGTTTAATTTGCTTTGGTAATCTTATTATTTATGCTGTCAATATTTCTCATTTTTTCAGTATTTTCGTCATAGCTTCTTTACTCTTTTTAAAATGTTCTTTTTGAATCGAGAGTCTATTGAAAATATTCTTTTTATCTTACACAAGATAAGTATAAAATATGCATACACTCTACCCTTCCCAAATTTTACTTATGGAACTACAATATTGTATATTGTTGTTGGGAGAAATTCAAAAATAGCTAGATTTACAAGTGTCCATTCAAAAATAGTCACAGTTTCAAAAGTAATTGAAATTTAGAAAATCTGAACGAAAACACTGTTCAAAATCTAAAAAAATACTCCAGCATAATATACTGAAGTTTGGAGCATCGGTGCTCCAGTCTCTAGTATATTATACTGGAGCTAGCAAAGTATACCGGCCCAGCATAATATGCTGAAAGTTCATACACATATGCAACGAACTCTAGTATATTATGATGGACCGGTTTCTGTTACAGCAAAATAGTGGTTATTTTTCATTGACTTGGTAAACGCTGGCTATTTTTGAATGATCAGTCCGAAAACTGATTAGACCGTGCTATTTTAACATTGTTGTAGTCAACTTTTGACGGCCAGGAACCAAATGAAGGTCACTATGAACGAGGGGTATTCAAGCTACTAATTTGACTTATATGTCACGTTTGACCCTTAAAAACATTCAAAGTTCAAAAGAATCCAGATACAACTTTTATATTGTTCAACTCAAATTACGTTTACATTTGGACTACTTTTGAGATAAACTTCCTCATTAGATTTTGTCTAAACCTAAATTCTAGCCATTAGAATTTATAATTAAGACCGATCTTCTAAATAATATAGAATTCGAATATTAGACGCTATAAATATAATTTACATTCAAAATAATCTTTTGGCCTATACAAGCTGGATTACATTGCTATTCTCAAATTCAAATAAAAGAGAAAACCAGAAGTAGCGGTAGGCTAATGTTAAGTGAAAAATATATTTTATAATTATTTTTTCCTGTCCACTTTATTTGATTTTTTGATCTCTTTTTATGATCCATAATATTTTATTATTTTAGATATTGAAAAAGAATTAAATTCTTTTTTCCAAAACTGCCCTTGAAGTAAAAAATCAAGGAGTATTTGTTATACTTCTAATGAATAAATTAAGGTTAATATGGTCAATTTTATTGTTAATTAATACTAAAAGCTGAATTCCTTAATATGTGTAAAAATAATCAAAAAATCAATTAAAGTAAATCAGAAGGAGTAATACTTAATTTCACCCTTAGTCAGAGGTCTCAAGTTCAAGCACTAGGAATAAAAAAATTACGATGAAGAGCATTTCTCCCTTTAATGAGGTTTATGCGGAGCGAATTCAAATTAATCGGACGTCGATACAGATATCAGATACCGAATTAAAAAGTAAAAAAAGAAATATCCAATTTTGAAAGAAAGAAAATAGGAAAAGAAAAATAAAAGATTATTTTTCAAAAGTGTCCAAAGTTTCATATCAAGCATTAAATAGTTATCTTGGATCCTTCAGTCCAAAACAGCAAAGTGGTTGGCTAACTTCCAAAAATCTCCATTGGGTTTATCAAGAAGTGGCCAAAATTTCCATTCCTTGGGGCTAAGTGTCTAACAAGTAAATGACAAAACATGAATGTGCTGTCTACTTTTGGCTGGTTCTTTAAAGCCTTTGTCTCTTTGTCTTAATTTGTGTGTTTTTGTTTTTAAATTTATTTATGAGTAAAGAGAAAACAAGATAAAGACCAAGTTTGAATTGTCTTTTGTTCTTGCAATTCTCACACACTTGTCCCACAATGAAACAAAGGAAGTGATGTCATTTTTTTTCTGTCCTTTTGTTAGGACATATTTGGATTTTTGTGTCTTTTTCAGAATTATTTATCTTTTAGCCACCCTGATTCCTTGTCCACTTTAGGTAGTGACAAACATACAACCAAAAAAGTTGTTCCACACTTTATAAGGAGGTGGGGTAGGGGGGTTGTGTGGGGGAGGGGTGTTTGTTCTTGTATTTACCTAGACTAAGTGAACAATTTTTTCCTTGAACATATTGTCAAAGCAAAGACCATTGTATGGTTTTCATCTAGTCTATCTAGGGGCGGATTTACCGTGTAAAATATGGTTCACGTGAACCCGTGATCCTCAGGTTAAAGTATAGATATAATGTACATAATTTGACAAAAATAGATATATATATTTGATGCAACCCATGGTCAAAAGAGACCAAATGGTGCACTGGTTTTGATCTCTTATTTCCAATAGCCTATGGTCAGGGAATCAAATCCCCTTTAATTTTTTTTTTAAAAAAAATAATAGTGCACCCATCCTCCGGAAATCCTAGATCCGTCTCTGAGTTTATATGTTCTTTTTATCTTCTAGTGATTGGAAATTTTTAACATTTTTACAAGATGAAATTTGAGAGAGATGAGGAGTTGGTGAGAAATGAATTTGGAGTTAATATCTTATATATTGGAGGTGATATAGTATATAATTAAGTAATTAAAAGTTTATTTTCTCCAACAATTTAAACTTTGAGATAATATTGTCATATAATTCACATAAATTTATATATTTACATTTTAATTCGGAAATTAAAGTGCATACAAGCATATGCGAATGCAAGACACCTGAACATAAATTTGAACTTAATATTTTTAATGTGAAATATAAATTTATATATAAAAATTTATCAAAATCATAATTTAAAATAGTATAATTTTACTGATAAAAATCTTAAAGATTAAACTCATAAAATTTTAAATTCGGCTCAACAAGTAGTGAAGATACACATAGCAATAACAATAATAAACTCAGTGAAATCCTATACGTGAGGTCTGTGGAGGATAATGTGTACGCATACCTTACTTTTTCTTATGAAGAAAATTTTAAATTTACGAATTCAAAATTCTAATAATTTTAAGTTATTGGATTCTAAATTAATAATTTATAAATATTCAATGATTTAAAGGGTTAAAACAAAACTATTAGATTTGACCAATATACCGAGTTCAAACTGAACCTGATCCAAGCAACAATGATAAACAATGAGACACGTAGTTTCGTAAAAACCTAAAACACAAAAACCAAAAACAAGAACAGAGGGCTCTGTTTTTCACAAATTCCATATTCTTCTGAAATACGCAAAAAAACACAACACCAAAACATTACCGACAAAAACAAACCCCACGCTTTGTCGACAACAAAACAAAATCTCTTTAACCTCATCTCTCTCTCTCTCTCTCTCTCTCTCTCTCTCTCACTACACAGCTTTAATTGAACCCCCCCTAAAACTTCAATTCCTCTCTCTCTATATCTTCACCAAACATATTTACACAGAAACTACAATCTTGAACTTGTTCTTGCCATAAATTCTTTGTAAAAGCTGGAGCTTTTTGGTGAATTCTTATTGTACTTTTTCTGGGTTTTTGATGAACTAAATAACCCAGAAAGGAATTTCTGATTCTTTATCTTGTTGGTGAGTTCATACCAAATTTGTCCTTTTTGGGTCTTTTGCTCTGTTTTCTGCCTGATGAATTGGCCATTTCTTGCAAAATTTGTCCTTTTTTGCAAATTTTAGCTCTGTTTTTACTGTGTTTTCTCCTTGGTGAATTGGTCATTTCTTGCAAAGTTTGTCCCTTTTTGCAAATTTTAGCTCTGTTTTTACTCTGTTTTCTGTTTGGTGAATTGGTCATTTCTTGCAAAGTTTGTCTTTTTTTGGACTTTTTATCTCTATTTTCTGTCTTGTAAATGTAAATGGGGCCTGTATTTTGTTAGTCCAATTAAAGTACACATTTCTCTTTGTTCTTTAATTCTGATTTATTGGGAAATTTTGAATCTTTTTTTCAAGAATCTTGAGAAATCTTGAGTTTTGATTTCAAGAAATTATCAAAGCCTTTGTTTTAACTACTTTTTGGCCCTTTTTTTGTGTAAATTTGTGACAATGTTACAAGATGATGGTTCATCATCAGTGACCTCATCATCACCTCTTCAGAATTTTCCAATGATGTCACTTTCACCTACTTTTAATTCACCGTACAATTGGCTCAAGGAGTTGAAATCTGAGGAAAGAGGTTTATATCTAATTCACCTTTTGCTCACTTGTGCTAACCATGTAGCTGCTGGCAATCTTGAGAATGCTAACATTGCACTTGACCAAATCTCTCAATTAGCTTCTCCTAATGGAGATACAATGCAACGAATCGCCTCGTATTTCGCTGAGGCGCTTGCTGATAGGATACTGAGATCTTGGCCTGGTATTTATAAGGCCTTGCATTCGACTAAGTTGTCGATTGTATCAGAAGACATACTGGTCAAGAAAATGTTTTTCGAGTACTTTCCGTTCATGAAAGTAGCTTCTTTGATCACGAATCAAGCGATCATCGAAGCTATGGAAGGAGAAAAGATGGTTCATATTGTTGATCTCAATGCTTCTGAACCCCTTCAGTGGCGCGCGCTGCTTCAGGATTTGAGCGCGCGCCCTGAAGGACCGCCCCATTTGCGGATTACGGGGGTTCATCAGCAAAAGGAAGTGTTAGAGCAAATAGCACATGTTCTAACAGAAGAAGCTGAAAAGTTGGATATCCCTTTTCAGTTCCATCAAGTAGTTAGCAAATTGGAAAATCTTGATGTTGAAAAACTACGAGTTAAAACCGGGGAGGCATTGGCGATTAGTTCAGTTATGCAATTGCACACTCTTCTTGCACATGAAGATGAACACCAAAAGAAATCTCCTTTGGGTCTCAAGCATATGAATGGCCTTCATTTGCAAAGGGCATTACTCAACCAAAATACTTTAGGGGACTTGCTCGAAAAGGAAACAGCTAATGTTTTTAGTCCGGGAAATGAATCGGCATCTTCATCTCCGCTATCTCCGACTGCATCAGCAAAGATGGACGGATTCCTCCACGCGTTATGGGGTTTGTCTCCAAAGGTCATGGTGGTCACAGAACAAGATTCGAACCACAATGGAACGACCCTTATGGAAAGGCTATCCGAGTCATTGTATTTTTACGCTGCATTATTCGATTGTCTTGAGTTCACACTACAGAGAACGTCATTAGAGCGATTAAAGGTTGAGAAAATGCTATTCGGCGAGGAGATCAAGAATATCGTAGCGTGTGAGGGAGTCGAGCGGAAGGAAAGGCACGAAAAACTGGATAAGTGGTTTCAAAGATTCGATGGAGCCGGTTTCAAGAATGTGCCTCTGAGTTATTATGCAATGTTGCAGGCAAGGAGATTGTTGCAGAGTTATAGTTGTGAAGGATACAAGATTAAAGAAGAGAATGGTTGCGTGGTAATTTGTTGGCAAGATCGCGCTCTTTTTTCAGTATCTGCTTGGAGATGTAGGAGGTGAGATTTAGACCAAGTATTACAATCAAGGGGAATTTGAATTGTTTTTTCTTCCCTTCTCTTTTGTAATGCACTTTGTAGGAAGGAACTTTTGTGTAGTGAAACTTGTCATGGAAATTGTAATCTTTCTAATAGTCTTGTTGTTGCCCTCTTTCTTTGTATACAGTTTCACAATATGTTTTAGTTCCCTAAGGTAACATAGCATTCTGATTGTCCCTAAGGTATGTAGTAAAGAATTACTCAAATCAGTATCATTGTAAGTAGACGATGGGGAGCCTTGGTGCAAGGGTAGAAGTTGCCGTGATGTACTCGGGAGGTTAGAGGCTCAAGCTGCAAAAATAACCTCAAACATAATTGCAAGTGAAGTTTGCGTATATAAGACTCAATGTGGTCTGGTCCTTTTTCGGATCCCATGCATAGCGGGTCGTGCATCGAGCTGCCCTTTTAGTGTCTCTATGTGTAGACATGTGTAAGCAGGCAAAAGGGAGCCTTGGTGCAACGGTAAAAATTATCGCAATGTAACCAGGAGGTTAGAGTACATAATTGTAAGGGAAGGTTGCGTATATAAGAGTCAATGTGGTCTCATCCTTTTCCGGACCTCATGCATAGCGGGTGTGCATCGAGCTAACCCTTTTAGTATCATTACGTGTAGACATTGTTCTGTGTCTGCAAGGATTTGGGTTCATTGGTAAGGACGTAGCACGTGACGTGTAGGTTAGGCACACATTGCAGGTTCAAAACCTTTTAAACACAAAACCTGATATTTAAGTGTAGGTCGGAAATCCACAATATATTTCTTCACTATTAAAAAGAATAAGACACATTTCCTTACAAAATCTGGTATTTAAATTTAGGTCAGAAAGCCACAATATATTTCTTCAATATTAAAAAGAATAAGACACATTTCCTAAAGAACTTGCAGAAAATCTAATTCCACGCATGGATAATTTGACGGTTTAAACATTCCAATGGTTTGTCATAAAGAAAGTATACCAGCTTCTAATTGCAGGGTAAACTATAATGACACTTGGGCCAAGATATAACACAATGAGAAAATGTGAAAATAACACGAACTAGCCAGTTTTCGTATTGTAATTGAAAAATAGTCAGCGTTTGCAAAGTCATTGAAAAATAGCTACTATTTTGCTGCAATACGGAAAGTTTCAGCATAATATACTGGAGATTGAAGCACCTGTGTATGAACTTCCAGCATATTATGCTGGAACTCCAGTATATTATGGTGGAACTCCCAGTATATTATGTTGGAACCCCACATGTAAAAAATTCGAACTCTAGTATATTAAGCTGGAATATTTTCTGGATTTTGAACAGTGTTTTCGTTCAGATTTGTCTTTACATGAAAAATGGCTAAATTTTGATTACTTTTTAAACTGTGGCTATTTTTCAATTACCACTTATAAATCTTGCTATTTTTGAATTTCGCCCTGAGAAAATGGCACCCCGATGTCCCCATTTAGACTTGTTTTTTAAAATTTGTCCCCATTTTACAAACTTTTGCAAAAATAGGCCTAGCGCCAGATGACCGGTTCCATCTCCGCTCAGGGGTATACGCGAAAATTTTTATAAGCGGTATCGAAATTTATAGAATAACGGGGATAATATCTTTAATTATCGTACTTCTAGACAAGATATATTCTTAGTCTATTGGTTTTGTTGAGTCTTAACTTAGAAAGGGTCATGAGTTCAATTCTAGTTCATCACTTAACCATAGAGTTTCTCTCAAATATTTGCAAAAAATATGCTAGTTGAGGTTCGAATCTATGACATCTTAGAGCAAAATCAGGCACATAACTAACGTACCAAAAAAATAATTTACGTCAAGTGGTATTATTATTATTCGACAAGTGTCGTGCGATATCGTTTCATTAAAGCCGTTGTATATGCCCCGTCTAAGAAACTATGCTTGCAATTCTAATAAATAACTATTTCAACACGCACCTTTAGCCAAATCAGTTTGGAGTAGGAGCACTAGTTTTCATATTTTTCTCAATCGGCTATCTTGTTACAAACTATACTCTATGGTCGTGTAGCCTAAATTTGGATGGTTGTTACTCATTGTATCATATCGTATTGTTACTTTAAATATAATGTTTTGATTGTTACTTAAATTTTATTGTATCGTATCGTTAAATCTGTCGTTACATAACGACGAAATGTGCCACTTTATGTAACGACCGATTTGGTGTGGTCGCGTCGTTACCTTGTCTTTTTCTCTCAATCTCACCTTTTATTATTATTAAATTATTTTATTTTATCATTTACGCTACTTTTTTATATAGTAATTTTACCTTGTATCATAATTTTTCTTTATAATATTGCAAGTTTATNCTTATAAATAATTGAACAACACAAGTGGGTTAAGCCATCGGATTATACTTGTTAACAATTTGATAAAATAAGTAAAATGAAAGATGAAAATTTTCTTGTAGCCATCGGTTTCTTCCTCTTTTCAAAGTTATAACTTATATAATGTATTTGATCTCAATTATAGTAGAAATAACATTAGTATTAGGAGCTACTTTACCTCTCGCTAAAAAAGACATTAAGAGAGGTTTAAGCCTCTTTTGTTTGCACTTAATGGAGGTCTGAATCTTAACCATTCAGATCTCACATATTAAGTGCGTTTGTTTTAAAGTCTGAATCTTAATTATTCAAATCTTAATCATTAAGTGTGTTTGTTTTTTTTACTTCACAACCACTTAATGGGTCTGAATAAGTTTGTATGATTAAGATGTATAACAGAGACTTAATTTCATTAAGATGCTATCACATATTCATTATTAACTGCCGCCACCACCTACCATTATCAACTACCACCATACTCAACCACCACCACCACCACCAAGCCACCATCATCCTCACTCATAGCCGCCACCATTATCGACCATCACCACCTACTATCCCCACAACTCCGACCACCATCATTCTTACCCACAATCAACACTCATCCACCTCAACTACCACAACTGACCACCCCATCACCATCAACAACCACAGCCGACACTGCCCATCATTATAACCTGCCACCCACCCACCCACCACCTTCCTCAGTCACAACTACTACCACCACCCACCATTATTAACTATCACCACCACCATTCTCAATCATAATCGTCACCACTACCAATCACTAATAGCACGAACCACCACCACCAACCAAAACTACCACCAACCACCGCGTCTAGTCGGCATTCACCTGTTAGCCATCACAACTAACAACTATCATATTTTAAAAAAAAACTATATATTTTATTGATAGAATATTAGATTAGTTAGTATTTCATTTGAATTTTATGTTTATTAATTTTCAATAAAAGATAAATTTTATATATTCAGATGTTAAAAATCAAACAGTCTTAGTTATTTAGTATTCAGATCTTAATACACATCTTAACATATTCAGATGTGTATTCAGATTCAGACGTCTTAATCTTAAAAAAAACAAATGAGGCCTAGCCTATTTCACAATGTCTCAGTTGTGGGGCCATAACATTTGTGTGGTTATAAAAACTTCTCATTAAGGGTAAAATGAGTAAAATAAAGAATTTAAAGCTGAATTATTTTCAATTGTAATAATATGTCATTCTTTTTTTAACGGATTAATAAGGAAAGTCTGTCATCTAAATTGAACCAGAGGGAGTAATAAACTTCATTTTTATGAAATCATATAATCTACCAAGACATATATCGAGGAAGCAGAAACTCTTTTGAAAGAAGCTAATAAGAAACAAATGGATCGTCTTATACTTCAGGAACAAATATAAAGAAATACTGATCATTTTTGTCTTCATCTTAATTAAATAAAAAGGAATCAAGCCTCTTGGATGCAAATATTTAAACAGTCTTTCTTGCAATCAATTGTACTCAATGATGCACTAATACTAATATACTAAATTTGATTTGATTAATAGATTAAAATAGATAGATAGATAAATAGATATAAAGAGGATAGCGGAAGTGGAACCTGCATCGTTAGTACCAAGTTTAGCTCGTCGGTAATGTAAGTTTTCCATTCTTCCGGTTGTGTAGCGCTTGGACTATATTTGCATAACTTTCTTAACTACAATAACTACAACAACAACAACAACAAACCCAATATTTTCCCACAAGTGAGGTCTGGGATGGGTAATATGTACACAGCCTTACCGCTATTCGTGGAAGGGCGAAAAGGCTGTTTCCGATCATAACTGTCTTAACTAGAGACAATATAAATAGTGGCCTCAAATGAGACTTTTTGTGCAAATCTCAGAAATGACTTCATGTTATTTTTACAGTTTTAGTTATATGCTAAGACAGGTGTAACAAATACTTGTATTATCATGTCACTTACATAGTACTTACAAATAAATCTTTAGGATAAACATTAACTGCTAAGCTAGTTATAATGGTAATTTACTCGTTATTACAAATAAAATTACATTGACAAGGTAAGATTCTTATATTGTCAATATATATAAATTGAAAATATTATTTTATGGCAATCAGAATATATAGATCAGAATTTGTTCTGGTTTATCCTTACCTCCCTTCACTAGATGAAAGCAATCATACTTCTCCAAACCTTACCACCCCATTAAATTCTACAAAAATATCAAATACCATCTTTGAAACCTTTATAAATCATTTAATCATCAATGAGCATATACACACAAGTCACTTAAGAAAGAAACAAACATACTATATATAAGATGCGAATCTAGAGGTCGGATCCTTCATGATCTAAATTTTAAGATTCTGGCTACAGATACAGGGGCGAGGATTCGACTAAAAATAATTCAAATACCTAAAAATAGAGTTTTAAAAATATCTAAATTATGAAACTATGTAGAGAAGGAGAAAATATTGATTAAGAAGAGAATCCAAAGGAGATAAAACGAAAGAACTGACATAGAGATTTCTAGATATAAGATTTTTCATTTTCTTAAATTTCACCCTAGCTTTGTTTTTAGTTTAGAAGTCATTGTATTTGTCTGGAATTTCTCCGTCGATTCTGGTCAAAGTACCCAACATCGGTTGACCAGATCCGGTACCGATCACGCACCCACATCGTACCGACATGGGTGCGGCACCAAAGTGAAGAGTACAAGCAACGATCACAACACATACGATTCATCGGCAACAAGCAGCCCCCTTTCTCAACATAAATGAGCCTCAACAGGAGCAGCCATTGATACGAGAGGAGGACGAAGGGGTAGTTCTCATAGAGAGAAGTCTAGATATTCTGAACTTAAAAAGCTTAAGCATGATGTTCCTCAAACCAAACAGAAAAATAGTGCGTTCTATTTACCCCCTAATCTCTCAAAGTTTTCTCTGAATATCAGAACCTTAACAAATCCAACTCCCTACAAATTTACAATGAACTTAGGCCAGCAGCACCAACCTAGCCAGGAGACTGTCAAACACAGGTGAACTCCACCCTGAACCTTGAGAAAGACAGTGCAAGCACATCAAGAATCATGAATTTAATAATAGAATTGCAGGGAACATGTAATCCCAACTTCAATAAGAAATTTTAGGCGATGATAGATTCGAAAATACCAACTGAGGTGGCAGTGGCACTGCTGGAGGCCCGACTACAAGTGCACAATTCTGAAGGTATACTTCAACTTTACTAAGCTTGATTCAACTTTACGAATAATGTTGAGGTACATTTGGATCAAATTGGAACAACCAGCCAAGAAGTCATGCTACGATCAAGGTAAATCCCGCTTCACCACCTTGGCAATTTTGTTGTAGCACAAACTTTAGCAATAGAATAAAACTGTGGGATAACTTAAAAAACACTGCTGACTGCTATAGTGGTGCCTGGTTTATAGGAGGAGATTTTAATCAAATAACCCCCATTAGTGAAAATTTTGGGGGACTACCTATTAATAATATTAGAGCTAGTAAGTTTATAGGCTGCACAGACACCGTAAATTCATTGATCTTGCATTTACAAGCTAACATTATTCACCTACCTAGGAGCTATTCTGATCATAGTCCTACGAAATTGTGCCTTTTACTAAGCGCCCTAGATCATATAACCTTAGCAAGCGCTACACCTAGGTGCTGTCGGCACATTCACCTTACATGAATTTCATGTTCCTTGTGCTCTTTATTCTTACTTTGTTCAGAGGCACAACATACCCTTTCAAATACTACTCAAGACGAGAAACAAAGATGAGTACTATTAGTTTGAATATAACTTGACCAAGCACTTCAACCAAATAACTGTTCTTGCAAAAGAAATTGTTGTTTCATCATAAAGGAAAAAGGACTAACAAGATCTCCAAGCAGATATTGTTCAAAGATGAATGTAATATGTAATGTCTTGTCGTCTTTGAGACAAAAGAAACAGAATTTAAGAAGAATGCACAAAGAACTCCTACTATTTATTAATTACATGATTTTCTCCATATGAGCCTTTCTTGTTGCTGCATCCTTGGCACCATATTTAGAATAGGGCCAAATTAGGCTTTCAACGTAAATGTTTGCCTCGCGAAAGGCATCACAGTTGGTAACCTCTCGATATTTGATCAAGTCATCCTTCGGATTGTAAATCAAGAAAAATGATCCACAGTCGAACAAAATTTCACCTTCATTTGACTTGCAAAAGAATGGAAAAAACAGATGCACTATATAATTATCAGGACGCTTGATGTTAACTATCCTTGTCCAAGATTCTTTAACCCCATCATCTTTCATAACCCACAAATCCACGCGACCACTCCAATTATTACAAAACAGAGAAAGATCACTTCCCAACACTCCCAAGCACAACGTAAAACCAAAATCTCCTTCTCCATAGCAAGGTTTCTCCACCTTTTCCCATTTCTCATCAGCCAAATTAATAGAAACGATGCCCCAACTATTATAACAACGCAACCTCCGAGTAGTACTATTATTAGTCCAATAAAGCTTCCCATTCACAAACATACCCTTCGACCTAATAAATACTACCCCTTCCTGAAAATTATCTACACTTGTCCAAGAATCACTATTTACACTAAATATTTTGGCTTTAGCATGACGCAAACCGTCATGACCCAAATAACGATCAATACCCACTATTTTATAATCGTCATGAAGCTCATCATATCCAAAACCGAACATAAACAACAACCTATAGAATCAGGTAATTTCTTGAATTTCCTAATTGATGGATTCCACAGAAAGAATTCTGTTCCCTGAACGGAAAAACAAATCAACCCATTGACAGAACCCACAATAAAAGGATATCTAGGAAATTTATGGGTATTTTTATATGGATAATCCAAGTTAATCGCTTCAATACTAACAGAGTCATAAAGCAAAGAACTAACAGAACAGTTCTTAAGATTTTGCTCTGGTGGAGATAACCCCACCATAAGCCTATGGTGGGTGTAATTCTTGTTATTTGCACATATATTGAGATGGGTTTTGATAAATTCAGGGCTAGAGATTAAAGCGAGCCAAGATTTTGAAACACACCTGAATTGTAAAAGCGATTTCACGGGTAGCCTTAAGAGGATTTCAGTGATGAGTTCTGGTGGAATATTAATAGGGATTTTAAAGCTTGAATCTTGCATTGAAGTGGAAGAAAGTTGAGTGAGTTTGCTCCGTTTTGATTCCACTATTTCAGAACTTGCAACCTTTTTCTTTTCTAGGTTTGTGTCTTCTGAAATTTTTTCAAATTGTATCTGCTGAAATATTATTTACTCCAACAAGAACAAAGATACTTTATTCCTGCCGTATTTATAGTCGGTTTGGCCTGCAAAAATCAAAGTATTTTTTCAGCAATTACTGTTTGACTAATTAATTTTAAAAATATTTTTAAGCAGCAATTAGTATTTAACTAAGCTTTAAAAAACTACTTCTAAATATATTTTTTTCAAAAGTACTTTTCAGAAAAGTATTTTGGAGAGAAAACTACTTTTTTTTCTTTTCAAAAGCTTGACCAAATACCTTAATTTTAGAAAAAAAATATTTTTGACCAAAAAAAAGTGTTTTTGCATAAAAAAAAAAAGCTTGACCAAACATGCTATTAATTATAGGTGTTTATCGGACGGGGCTGGAACGGGCTGAACTGGGAAAACCCCAGCCCGTTCGGTTAGCGGGCGGGTTGGTTAACGGGCTCTTGGCGTGTTGGGAAATTTCGGCTTTTTAGGGCCCATACGGGTTCGGGCGGGCCAGGCTCCATTTAATTTTTTTTTAAAATTAAATTTTATTTTTCTTATTCAATATTATTGATAGTTAAGTATTTGCAAACTTTTAAGGGTTAGAATTAAACTTTGAAGTTTAAAGTTTTAAATTTGAAATTTGTATTTTAGAATTATAAAATTGAAATTAGAAAGTAAGTAGCTACAAAAAATTATTTAATAAGACCAATAGGCAATATAAGGAACAAACTCCGAAAGCTTTCATTTATATTTTTAATACTTCAAATTAATTTTTTTTATTTTTTATTTTTGAACTTGCAAATTAAAAGTTTACAATAATTATAAAAAATAAGAA